CCCCAAAACCCCAAAACCCCAAAACCCCAAAACCCCAAAATCTAAAAGTTATTGAATAATCAATAAAAATGTATAAAACACAGGGGCCTGGATACTACTATTCCAAGTTTTCCCCTTTGAACCCAAAATACTTGAGCATTCTGTGCGAGAATGATTTACAAGTTGTTGAGAACAATGGAGATGACTATAAACTACTCTATGTGAATAGATTAGGAAGCAGATTTGATTCAATCAGATGTATTGAGTGGTCAAAAGATCCAGCAAACCCACTCACCCTTGCAACTGGATTCAAGAATGGTCGAGTCGCTCTGATCTCATACACTGATGAAAATGGAACACAGAATATGGAGAGAATAGTCTCAGGCTCCATAGTAAAAGAATTTGTCCAGAAGAGCTCAAGGTCTTCCAAGAAATGTAATGCCCTCGCATGGAATGAACATAATCCTTCCCTTCTTGCAGCTGGATATGACTGGACTGAGAGGAGCAATTCGAGCAACCAATACAGTATAGTCATTTGGGATGTCAACAAGGAGACTAAAGCCCAAGAAACTAATTATGATATCTATGCACCATACGTAGGAGAGTCTAATTTCAAGAAGGAGTACGTCCCTATCGATATTGATGGTGAGAAGAGAATCACTAAGAGAAACAAAATCGAAATTATCAAAGAGTGCAAATATTCCTTGAGCAAAAAGGATGATTCAACAGCCTTGGTCTGGCTCAATGATGAAAACTCCAAGCTGCTTAGTGGTACCAATAAAGGATCTATCAAGCTCTTAGATTTGCTAGGCTCTTCCCAAAATGAAATCAATGCTCACAAGAAAAGAGTGACATCAATTAAGCTTTCTCCTTTCAACTCAAATATTATTGCTTCGTGTTGCGAAGATCAAGTAAGAGTATTTGATTTGAGAAAAATGAAAACTCCAGTGATCCAAATCAATCATGACGTAAAGGAAATAGAGTTCTCCAACTACCACTCCTACGTTCTTGCAACAATTCACAGCAAGAAAGATGCTAACACAGTAAAATTTTGGAACATCAACAATGCAATCCAAGAGAAGTTTCAAGAAGATGATGCCTCTTGCCTCGAGCTCGAATATCCCTTCTCTATGGAGAAATGTAAGCAAGAGATTTCGTCACTCACATGGCTTCCTAAAGTAGAAGATGAGGAGCATAACAATAAGAACAAGTACCTCGTAGTAGGAGATGGAGGCACTCTCCTTCATACCCACACTTATAGAAACATCGACTGAATGCCAGTCAGCTTTTCATCTCTGAATGAACTTGCCTTTTCTAATGGAGACAAGGTCTTCTTTTATGACTTCATGAGTCAAAACCTGAAGAAGATGAATGAAAATGTAAGTGCTCATAAAGACGGAGCAGTCGACAGTGGGGATTTCTACCCTCCAGACACCAGCCATGAGGACATCTCTGACCTTGTCTGTAAAAGAATTAACCATGGATATGGACTAGATATCAACAGAAATGTAGAAATAAGCCAGAACTTTTCATATCAAGGTATCCGAGTCGTCTGGAGATGGCTTCAGACTATTGAAAGTTTGATGAAGGGATCTCAAAAGAATATGATCTCAGTCAATTTTGAAGAATATCATAAAGGGATTGCATACTTGTTTGAGAACCAACCTACCTCTCAAAATATCCCAGAGAATCCAGAAATTCAGGAAGAATGACTGAAGTTTATGGATACCACAATTTATTCAGGCCAAGATAGGTCGATGGCATGTAAAATGTGAGGGTGGACAGACGTACTTCAAACACACTCTACTAGAGTTTTGAAATCAACGATCAAAAGCAAGGTAGATTCTATTGGCAAGCAAGATCCTGTAAGAGCTACCTGAGTGGCTGCTTGTCATTTTGATTTCTCTTTAGCAGCAGTAGAGCTCAGTTCCTCTATTCAAGAAAATAAATATGATGAGGAGCCAAGTAATCTTAGTCTTATGAGGACTGTATTCATGATCTTCAATGAGATCCATAAAAAGAACCAAGTGTTCCAAAAAGGCGAAAATGAAGAGTTTTATAAATCTCTGAAAAACACTATTTGGAAAAATGGCTACAAGATGAGGAATGAGTATTTCAATTGGGTAATGACCCTCTTCAATAGTCCCCATGCTGCCCTTGAAGGGTTCAAGAAGATAGATTTCTTGGATAAAATAGCAGCTTTTTGTAGATTCTTTCCTAAGGATCTTCTTAAAGAAACTATTTCAAAGCTAATTGATAAAGGAATCAAAGAGGGAAACCTAGAAACAATTGTCTTAACTGGATTCCAAGATAGATGCCATGAAGTTCTACAGAGCTATGTAGATGTCTATGGAGATTTCCAGACACCTGCTCTGATAGCTTGCTATTACATGAAATATGTCAAAGAGAAAGACCCAAGAGTTACCAAATGGATTATGGAGTATAGAAAATATCTAAGCAAAATCAGACTTTGGAATATTAGATGCAATTTTGATGTGAATAGGATTGCCTTGATCAAAAAGAGCAAGAACGATACAGACCATGATAGTGATATAAAAACCCAGCTTAAAAAGTATGAGCATACTATTTTCTGTCCTCTTCCAATGTGCGAAACAAATATTGGTATTGCTCACAATAGTGAGGAAGAAAAGCATGCTATCTCTATTGCTGGTACTTCTGCTTCTAGAGGTATTCATAGAGCAGTTGTAAATCCTTCTGCTCAATTCTCAAAAACTGTATCTCATTGAAAATGCACAAACCAAATAAACTGCTCTGTATGCTCTTTAGCCATGCATAGAATCAACCCTTCATTCAAATCAAGTCTCCCCCTCGACCCAAGCAGTGATGGGTTTCGAAAGAGTCGTTCAGAGTCATCTATTTACAACTTCTCCCCTTCAAGTCAGCGAGGAGCGAACTTAAAAGATTTGAAGTTGAATTTTACAGATTGGTTCTCCTGGTGTAACACATGTAAGCATGTTGGTCACCTTCAATGTGTTGAAGAATGGTTCTCATATAACTCAGAATGCCCAATCCCAGATTGCCACTGCCAATGTAAGCTTCAGTGCCCAATATAAATATTTTCAATTATTTTGTAAAAGGAAGGGGTTTTGGGGTTTTGGGGTTTTGGGGTTTTGGGG